CTGGCACCCCCGCCCCAGGGGGCGCCGCTTCCAGCAGTGGTTCCCCAAGCTGGGTGTGGGGGTCTCAGGGCCTGCGTGGTGCTGGTCCTGACTCAGGCCGGCGTGTCCCTTTGGGCTTCAGCCGCGGTCCCGAGAGGAGTGCGTGGGCCAGCTGATCTCAGCCCCTCCTACGCGCTGCCCCGGAGGACGCAGACAATCAGCCCGTTCTTCCGCGGATGTGCCCGGGAGAAAGCCCGGCATCTGAAGACATTTGACCCGGTGCTGTGGGGAAACCCCAGATGGAATGCGACATGGAATCCAGGGGGACCCCTGACTGCTGGAGGTGCCTGGGTCCCGCCCCCGCGCCCTCCCTCCCCGGCCCCAGCCAGGGTGGGACACAGAGCTGCCAGGGACGTATCTGTCCTCGCCCAAACAAAGGCCGCCCGCTCTCTGCCCGTGCTGGCCGGCTAGGGCATCACCCACCTTCTCAGGCAGGAACACCGAGGGGCAGTTTGGGGCCCAGGGGCAGGTTTTGGGGACGGAACTCTGCCCCTAGGATCAAGAGCTTGGGACCTCACTTTCTCCTCTGGAAAGCTGGGGGTGGGGCAGAGTCGCTGTTCAGAAACAAACGTCTATGCCTGTGACATTTTAGAGATGTGGGTAGGACTGCCAGATTTCACGAATAAATATACAGGACACTCAAGCAACTCTGAGTTTCAGATAAACAATGAATAATTTTCTTTCAGAATAAGGATACCCCAGCTGGGCGTGGTGGCGCACGCCTGTAATCCCAGCACTTGGGAAGCTGAGGCAGGAGGATTGGTGCAAGTTCAAGACCAGCTTGGGCTACAAAATGAGTTCAAGGCCAGCCTGAACTGTATAGCGAGACCTTGTCTCAAAAAGACAAATAATAATAATAAAAAGAATAAGGACACCCCATGTAATACACTGAAATTTGTTGTTTATCTGAAATTTAAATTTAATGAGGTGTCCTGTCGTGTGTGTGTGTGTGTGTGTGTGTGTGTGTGTGTGTGTGTGTGTGTATGTGTGTGTTACTGGGAGTAGAATCCAGGGCCTTCACACTGTGCTCCAACCCCAGCCCTTTTCATTTTTTACTTGGAGTCTCAGTCTTGTTATGTTGTTACATTGCCCAGACTGGGCTCAAACTGGAGATCCTCCTGCCTCAGCCTCCTGAGTGCTGGGATAGGTGTCCTGTCTTTTTTCTAGCAACCCTAGATGTGGGTCAGGTGGATGCTGGAACCCCTGGAGAAGCAACACCAACCTTCCCCCACTGTTCAGCCCCTGCCAGGGTACTGCTGTCCGCCTGATCCCTTCACGATGCAGCCTTCCCAGCCTCCCACCAGGGTTTCTCAGCATCTGTTCCTCCTCCAGCCTGGGTGGGGTGTGGAGGGTGTGTAGGTGTATGCCAGGCCATGGGGCTGCAGCAGGAGGCCCCAGAAGCCCAGAAGTGAGGTGGTGTTGGGAGAAGGTTCCTGCAGTCTGTGGACTGGGGCTCCTGGCCCAGGGAGTTTGGGGTCTCATGCAACTGCAGGGAGAGGAGGCCAGAGGTCCCCCTACCGCGCGTGTGCCCCAAGCCCACAGTCGCTCTTGGCTCAGGAGAGGGAAGGTTCTAATTTTAAGGGCCAAAAGGGACCAAGAGATGAGAAACAAGCAGCGTGAGAGAGGGAGACAGAGGCTAGGGAGAGAGACCAGGAGGGCCCTGAAAAAGACTCGGAGACAGGGGTTGCGGGTAGGACCAACAGAGTGCAGGGAAACAGCCACAGATAGAAAACAAACTCTCCTGCCGAGACTAACAGAGAATACTGCAGGGAAAACCCGAGGACACACAGAAGTTGGGAAAGCACTCTGGAGGCTGAGGCAGGAAGATCGCCAAAAGTTTAAGGCCAGCCTACACTAACTAGTGAGACCCTGTCTCAACTCCTAACCCACTAGAAAGAAAAAGGAAAAAAAAAAAAAAACAAATTGAGAGAAAGTAGATGCTCAGGGAGATGGGGAGACAGGAGACTGGATGAAAAGGGGAGATGGGGGGGTCCATACAACTGACGACGGGACTGCGGCAGAGGAAAAGCAGAGAACGAATCTCTAAATTGGGGTGTTTTTCGGGAGCAAAGTCCCAGCGGAGACCCCGTCACACCTAAGAGCCGGCCTGGCGTGCCAGATTCCGGCCCCAGGCCTCTCGGACCCGCCCCACATCTCTCCGGCCCGCCCCCGCGAGGGTTGCGGGGGGTGGGGGGTGGGGGGTGGTTCCCGCTGTCCCTCCAGCGTCGCGGGCGATGCTGCCCCCTGGCGGCGCGCGGGCCCCAGGATCTGGGGAACCCTTCCACCCCCGGCATTCGCGTCCCTTTCTCTAGTCGGAGAGGAAATGTACCCCACGTTCCCGGGATTCAGGAGGAGGCTGGGGGACACGAATCTCAAGTCAGTCTGAAATCTGCCGGGCTGCCCTCCCTCTGGAGTGACGCCTCTCCCCGCACCCCCACTCCACGCACTCCACCCCTGCCCAACCCAGCTTTCGCCTCCCGTCCCTCACCCTAGAATAGAAATGAGGAGGGGCTTCCAGCGGCCGGGGCCCTCTGTCTGAGCCCCTCTCCCAATCCCTGTCAGGCGCAGCGCCCCAAAATCTGCAACCTGAGGGAAATCAACTGGGGCCATGGGTAGCAAGGGGTCACTCAGCAGTCTTGAGCTGATCCCACATTTTTTTTGTATCGGGAATTGAACTCAGGACTTCGCGTTTGCCAGGTAAGCAAGATGATCTATAGCCCCAGACCAGACTCCACAATTTTTTATTTTGTATTTGTTTATTTTTTTGAGACAGGGTCTCACTATTCAGTTCAGGCTGGCCACGGGCTGGAGATATAGCTCAGCAGTACAAGCGCCTACTTGGCAAAGTGCAAGGTCCTGAGTTCGATGCCCAGTATCTACCAAAAAAAGAAAAAAGAAAAATTGAGAACTCGGGCTGGCCTGGACTCACTATGTAGCCCAGGCTGGCCTCAAACTCGCGGTGATCCTCTTGCCTCAGCCTGCCTCAGCCTCTGGAGTGCTGGAATTACAGGTGTGCGCCACCACACCCGGCCATCCACAATTTTTTTGTTTTGTTTTGCTTTTTCCGGTACCGGGAACCGAACTCACAACCTTGCGCTTAGCCAGGCAGGCGCTGTGCCGCTGAGCTAAATCCCCAGCCCCTATCCACAATTCTAAAACATTAATCTCTTCTACCTCCAATTCCGAAACCCTACACAGACTTTCTCCCTGCCCCGCCCCTAACCTGAACCACTTCTCCCTCTCCTCGCCCTCCTTTCCCCTCCCCCTTCCTCCTCCCCTTCCCCACCCCTTCTCCGACCGGCCCCACCCAGGTGCTGCGTGCCCGCCCCGTCCCGGGCGGGGCCCATAGGTGCAGAGAAGTGGGCGGGGTTGCGACCCAGCCTCCCCTCCGCCCTTCCCCGGGGAAGCTCAGTGGACCCGGGTCAGGATGTCGGACGCCAGGGTCCCGGGTCTCGGGCTCACCCTGCTGCTCACGCTGCTGTCCGGCCTCCTCTGGACAAGCGCCTGGGAGGTAAGGTTGCTGCACTCGGGGGTCTACGAGGAGGGGCAGGGGCCCCTCTCTGGAGCCCGGTCCCCACCTTCCGTTGTCGGGTTTCCTCCTGACCCCGCGCAGTTGGCAACTTCCTTTCTCTTTCGATTGGGGAGGTGGGGAGCGCCGAGGGAGGCCCTTGGGCAAGCCTGGGCGTCCTCGCCACGGAGGACGGAGTCGGGGGACCTGCCCGCGACAGCCCCCTGGATACCTGGGCGGACTTTGACCCGCTTGGCCAGCTTTCCAGCTCCCTCTAGTCCTCAGCGTCAGAAGACGCCTGAGCCAGGCGGACGTCTCTCTAGCCTGTTCCTCCGGCGCTGGGTGACCTTGCGGCAGTCCCAGCCCTCTCTGGGATGGTTGCTTTGCTCGTGCCCTGCAGGAGGGGAGGTTCCAGGCCTATTCCCAGTCAGGGCCGCATTCCAGCCTGCCGTGACCTCTGACCTGCTGCCTGACCCGGTGTGATCGGGGGAGATGGGTGATTCTCGGAGAGGTCAAGGCTGAGGATGCCTGGGCGGGTTCCTCTCACAGATTCTCCCTAAGATACACACAGATGCAGGCCCAGGACACGCTGCAACTTCCTGCAGCTGGCGACCCCCAGGGCAGTGCCGGGCTGCACCCCATTATGGTCACCACCCCAGGCTGGGCGTGCAGACCTCTGCCGGAGCCCGTCCTGGCCCCTGCTAACTGGGGAGAGTGCTGGGTTCCTTCCACCTCCTGGAGCATCTGCTTGTAGATTCGGTCCAACACCTCCTCCAGGGGGTGGTCGCTGTCAACGCCCATTCAGAGAGAGGAAACCGTGGTCCCCAGCGTCACCTTGATGGCTTCAGAAGACTCAGGCTCTGACCCACTCCAGCAGGACCACCCCCAGTTAAAATGGGGAGAGGTAAGGGGGGAAAGGCATTCCCCTCAAGCAGGAAGTGGGACGAAGTTTATGGAAGCTGTTAATTACCCATGACTTCTCAGTTGGCGTCTAGGAGAGGGAGGCTCGCACGGGACCCCTTGGTCTGTGTGGAACTCTGCAGTCACCCCTGCGTGCTGCGTGACTGGCGGGCTCACACCTGCCAGCCTGCAGGGGCTGTGCGGGCTCCTTCTTCCTGCTCCTGTCCCCCTTAAAAGGCAGAGCTTGTAAAGAGGTGCTGAGACTGAGCAAATGGAAAAGAGGAATCACCCCAACTATGACTTGTCTCGGCACTCTTATCTTTCCTGGTGGGATCAGCAAATGAAATGCTACTTTAATTATTTTAAGTAAAAGATAAAGATAATGGTTTTGGAGAGAGGGTACTGGGCATTAAATGCAGGGTCTTCATCTCCTGCTCTTTTTTTTTTTTTTTTTTTTTTGTAAGATAAGATCTGGCTCTGCAGTTCAGGCTGGCCTTGAGCTCACTTTGTAGCCCAGGCTGGCCTCAAACTCGCAATGATCCTCCTGCCTCAGCCTCCCGAGTGCTGGGATTACAGTACGCCACCACACCCGGATCCTGCTCTTTTTATTTTGAGATTAGGATCACTCAATTGCTCAGAGTGGGTGTGAGCTTGTGATCCTCCTGCCTCAGCCTTCCAGAGTGCTGGGATGGCAAGTGCCCTCCAGGACACTGGCTTGTCTTCCTATTTTGAGCCCTGGTTGTTGGGCTCAAGTGGCTAAGGTGGGGTGACCAATAACCCTGTCATTTCCTGTGTCCCTGCACCTGTATGGCTCCTTCACCCTCACAGCCTAGGAGCAGCCAGGGTGAAGTCAGGTAGTCATCAAATACTTATTCATTCATCCTGCACATATTTGGACTGTTGGGTTCTCAGCAGCGATCAAAACAGAAAACCGTGGCCCGCATGAAGTTTACACTCTATCAGGCAGACACTTAACGAGATTAACCGTAGGATGCTGGATGTTGGTAGGTGTTGCAGAGAACAGTTAAACCTCGAGGAAAGGGGAGCTTGGGGGATGTGGTATAGTCGCTGTGGTTGGACAGGCAGGTCTCAAGCAGCCCTGCAGACACCTGGGGGAAAGGCTGGGGCCACAAATGCTGCAGACGTTGTGCAGTTCTGACTGAGCGCTCTGAATGCCCTGCGGAACTGGACAGATGAGAAAGAAGGGAGGCTGAGGCAGGAGGATCGAAAGTTCAAGGCCAGGCTGGGCAACATAGTGAGACTAGTCTCAAAATAAAAAGGGTGGGGTTGCAGCTCAGTGGCACAGCACTTGCTGGGCGTGTGTGAGGCCCCCTGGGCTCAATCCACAGCACTGCAAAAAGAAAACAGTGTCCTACGGGGACAAGGAAAGTTGCTGATCCCTGGACTACAGCTGTCTTGGGCAAGGAATTGATGGGTGGCCGGGAGTTTCCAGATTTGGGAGTGGGAATGTGCCGGGGGCAGGGGGAAGAGGCAGGAGAGCCAGCTGGCAGGGGTCAGTGGGACTCCGGTCTCCGACGTGTGCTACACCTGGATGAATTCCGGTGGAGACTCCACCTTCCGTTTATGAGCCGCGACCTCTGCCTCTTCTTCCACAGACGACGTCTAAGTCCAAGTGCGATTACCTTCCGTAAGTGCAGGACTGCGGCTGTGACCTCCACTCAGGGTGGTGGGCGGGCCTGGGTTGAGGGCCCGGCCCCTCACCCATCCTCCTCACCCCCTACCCCAGCAGAGACCGAGATGCAACCCTCCCTCCCTTCTTCCCTTGGCACCTGGGGACTGGCCACTAGTGTAATCCCCACCTCCCTCCTGCAGGCGCAGGCCACCTCCCCTGAGGGTCCCCGAGAGGGCAGTGGGCAAAAGTGTGTGCTGATAATACTGATATATAAATAAACTCCCAGCAGCTGAGCACAGCGAGAAGTGGCTGGGGAGAGTCTCAGGCAGAGCAGCGTTTCTATGGAGTCGGCACCGGGTGACCCAGACGCCCCTTGCCTGCCCAGCCCGAGCGCTGTGGGTACCGTTGGGTGCTCGCTTCTTCTGCACTTAGCTCCCCGCTCCCAGCACTGCCTCTCTTCCTCTGTCCTTTTGAGTCAACTGAGCAAAGTCAGAGCCACTGCAGCCCTCAAGCCCCGCCTGCCCAGGGGGGTGGGTGGGGTGCTCGTGCCACCCAGTAACTTTGCACAGGGCCAAGCCCAGGGCCGGGGTCCCCCTGCCTGCCCACTCTGGTGCCAGCAACCTTTTTCTGCCCCTTCCCAGAACCTGCTCCGAAGGATCGCGGTGCTGTAAGGAGAGCTGCTGCGTGAAAGATTTCTTCACCGGCCCCTTGAGGTGAGCCCAGGGCCAGCTGCTGCAAGCACAGGCCACGGCAAGGATGGGAGACACCCTGCTGGGGGTGGTGGCCTGGGCAATCAGGGTGACGTCGGTGCCTCTGCCGCAGGGTTTTCCTCATCTGCCTCTCCGTCATCGTGCCCATCCTGTGCTGCTGCGGCCTCCTTAAGCACTTCTGCATCAAACGCTATCTCAGAGCGCTGCAGCAGGGCCCGGCGCAGGCTCGCCAGCAGCCCTCAGACCCGGCCAGCACTGCGCCCCCAGAGGAGCTCCAGGAAGCCACCTTTGGGCCCCCCCCACCCTACAATGAGGTAAGTCTTTCCTGTCCCAGGCGCTGCCCCCAGCACCGTGTCACCCTCTCCTGGCCAGCATGAGGGGCTGGTGGCCACGGGGCCAGGCCCTGGGAAGACCAAGTGTCCTCTTCTCCTGCAGGTGGTTCTGAAGCCCATCCTGTTCCCGCCTCCCATGGAGCCCCCGCCTCCCATGGAGCCCCCGCCTCCCTACAGCCTCGGGCCTGAGGACCACACAGGCACACACAGCGGCATCGACAACCCAGCCTCCGACCTGGCACCTCCCCGGTGACCTCCGGAGCAAGCCAGCGACAGCTGGGACTCCTGTTCAGCCCCCCTGATACCCTGCCACGGCTCTTCCTTCTTGGATTTAACTTATTGCTTTTCTCACCCCTGTTCCTCCCAGCCCCCTCTTGCCCTTGGGCCAGGACAGGACTGGAGCAACTGTATCTGTCCTTCTTCCAAGTGAAGGGCCGCTGGGAGCAAGGTCCGGCTGCGGGAGGGACCTGCAGTGTATGGGCTACTCCGTGGAGTGGAGAGCAGCCTCTTGCTGGAGGTATACAAGTCATGACCGCACAGCTACTCTGGGATATTCTGAAGGCTTTCTCTGCCCACGGAGGACTGACTGGGTGGCTCCGAGCCACCTTCCAACTCTGCCTGAATAGAGAAGACCCCATTGTAACCCCAACACAAGTGCTCACTAAATTTGTCACTGACTGTTGCTGCGTCTGCCTTTGGCTGTGCAGGTGGGGGCGGGTAACCTCAGGCACTGCTGGTATGTGTGGGGTGTCACTGTGCAGAATTCACCCACGATGACCGCTGTGAGCAGGTTGGCCACCATACGTGGGGACAATCCACCCAGGTTACCCAGGCTTTGGCCTCCAGTTCCTTGAGGCCTCTGGGTGCTAACAAGCTAGAAATGGGCTGATGTGGTGGTCTTGTGATATGGCGCTCAGATAACAAAGGTCTGTCATGCTGTGTGAGTCGGTCCCTTTCCTGTCCACAGGGACAAAGCACCTGACACCTGCAATGAAAGGAGGAAAGGCTTACTTCACAGTTTCAGTGGGTTCAGTTCATGGTATGCCACACCAAGGCAGAAACAGCAGAGGGGGCCTGGGCCTAGCCAGGGAGAGTTGTTCAGCTCATGGCGGAAGGGAGGAGCTGGGAACAAGAATGCAATACACCCTTCCAGGTCATACCTCCATGAGCTGCTTCTGTCTACCCAGGGCCCACCTCCTAATAGCAAGTCAGCTGTGAACCTGTTAGTGGACTGATGTTAGCCACCGTGATCCAGTCACCCTCCAAATAAGTGAGACTTTGAGGGACACTTAGATCTTCAGCCTTGCCTGGCTTATGGACGCTGTGATCAGTGCCACCTGCAGAAGTTAACCCCTCAGGTGGAGAAGATTGTCCTGGAGAGGGGAGAGGCTTCCTGGGCCATAGACCCCTGGAACTCAGACTTGCCTGGGCCACAGAGAGGAAGAGTCCAGTGCCTGTGTCTCAGGCTCCCACAGGACCAGGCAGCTGTCGTCTGACCTTTGCCTGCACTATACTCCAAACCTACTCCGTGCCAGCCTCCTCCCCAAGCACAGGTATGGTAGCAACACCAGCCAGCATACCACGAGGCCTGGAGGTGGCAGTGGCCCTGGACACTGGTAGATGCCTCCTTCGTGGCTCTGTGGGTACAAGACCCAGGCAGGCAGCAGGGCCAGGGCTGGGGAGCTGGCACAGACGTCTGCATAGATGCTAGGGATGGGGATATCCAGATGGAATGCCTGATGCAGGTGGCACCAGAGATGGCAGGAGGAGACTGAGCCATGAGTGGAAGCTTCCCACAGTTTCCAGATGGGTCACAGGAGCAGAAGGGACACATGGGGATTTATGCAGATGTTATTGCTTGGCGGGCATTGCCCCACTGACAGGGACCCACCCTGATGACTTTGGGGGCTCGACGTGGAAGGTGGCACAGGATGTCAGACCTCTCCTTCCCTGGGTGGAGGAGTGATGATTCTGAGCAGCACCATTTTTTTTCAACTATTTTTTATTGGTACACTTTAGATATACATAATGATCTCATTCATCATATATCACGTACCTGCACATGATATAGCCTGACTCTTCTTTTTTTTCCTACACCGCTCCCCTACCTTCAACCCTTCTTCCCCTCCTTATTTATAAAAAGTTTTATTTCCACTATTTTTCTTCTACATTTTTTCTTTTTCTTTTTTTTTTCTTTGGTCCCAGGAATCGGATCTTCTGTATTTTTTCTTGTCCCTTCCTTCCCTTCTCCCTCACTTGTTCTCACGTGAATATTTTCTTCCCAATTCCCGATGTCTATTACACAATTTGGTCCTTATTTACACATTCAGTTTCTCACACCAGAGAAGCAATGTGATATTTACACATGAGTGTCCAGTTTATTTCACATAAGAGTATGGTCTCAAGGTGCATCCATTTAACTAGAAATGCCTCAAGCTTATCCTTTATGGTGCAGTTGTACTCCATTGTACAAAAAAGATCACATCTTCTTTACCCATTCATCAGTTGATGGACATTTGGGCTGTTTCCATGTGTTAGCTATTACAAATTGTGTTGCTAGCTGGGTGTGGTGGTGCACGCCTGTAATCCCAGCATTTGGGAGGCTGAGGCAGGAGGATCGTTGCGAGTTCAAGACCAGCCTGGGTTACAAAGTGAGCTCAAGGCCAGCCTGAACTGCATAGCGGGACCCTGTCTCAAAAAGACAAGAAAAAAAAAAAATACAAATTGTGTTGCTATAAACATGGGTGTGCCTATATCACTGTAGCATGATGCTTTTAATTCTTTCAGGAAGATGCCAAGAAGAGGAATAGCTTGGTCGAATGGAACCTCTAGTTTTAGTTGTTTGAAGAATCTCCACACTGATTTTCACAGTGGTTGCACCAGCCTCCACTCCCACCAACAGTGGAGGAGGCTTTCTTTTACACCATAGCCCTGCCAGCATTTGTTACTGGTCAATTTCTTGATAATAGCTATTCCTTCTGGAGTGAAATGGAATCTCAGCATTGTTTTAATTTGCATCTCTCTAACGAGCAGTGATGTTCAGCATTTCTTTCCTATATTTATTTGCTGTTTCTACTTCTTCATCTGAGAAGTATCTTCATTTCAGGTGCCCATTTTCAGATTGAGTCTTTAAATTTGGGTCTTAAACTTTTAAATTTGGGTCTGGGTTTTTTTGTTGTTGTTTTTTTATTTTTTTATTTTTATTTTTTTGAGTTCTTTATATATTCTAGATGTTAGTCCCTTGTCTGAGGAACAGCTGGCAAAAATTTTTTCCCATATTGTGGGTTGTCTCTTCACTCTGTTGGTGTTTTCTCTCTCTCTTTCTCTCTCT